GCTCCCAGCGGGAGTGAGGGACCGTCCGCCGAATTGCCGCCGAATACCTGGACATGCCGCCCCTCTCCGCAGCGGCCGCCCCAAGCACCTGCTTGCCAGGTTGGTGCCTGGAGCCGGCCCTGCTGGAGAGTCGCATTGGAAAATGAAAGGGTCTGAGGGGGAAGGGCAGGCTCAGAGTCAATCTGCCCTGGCAGTGGAGATGGGCGGAGGGCACTAGGACCCTGCGGCAGCAGTTGCTGCAGGGAGGCAACGGAAGAGGCAGGGAAGCTCTGCTCCCTCCAGGGCCCAGGGACCTGCACTGCACGGGGGCAGCAAGGGGGGACCGGGGGACACTCGGGGGAGGCACGGGGGGGGGGCAGCAGGTGGGGCCGGAGGGGAGACCCGGCCCCAAGCATTGGTGAAGCTGGGCCCCTGGGCTCCGAATATTGCTGGTGCCCGAGCACCACGTGGGTATATAACTCGCCGCCCATGATCCTGGCAGCAGCACAGGGTCCCAAGCAAAGCCTGGTGACAGGTCCCTGGGGCTGTGGGTGGGGCAGGTGCAGCTGTGCCACCTCTCTAGAATTCCAGGTGCCAGGGCGACATCACAGACTGACACAGGTCAGAGCCCAGAGGCGGACACAGAAACATGTGCTAAGCTGGCCTGGGCAAAGGTTATTGGGAGGGGGGATCTGAGCCGGTGTGTGGGGTGCATGAAGGGGCAGGTGTGTGCAGAGGTGGGGCACATACAGCACTCCCAGACCATCCCACAGGCCGGTGTTCAGAGCCACACGCAGGTCACCTGGGGCACTGCAAACAGGTTCCAGGTTTACGTGGTCACATGCTTGTCACTCAGGGTTCATAGAGGGGATCCCAAGGTTTGGAGAGGGGGTCACACAGGGCCGGCTCCAGCATTTCTGCCGCCCCAAGCAAAAAAAAAAAAAAAACAGCCGCGATCGGCGGCGGCAGTTCAGCGGCAGGTCCTTTGCTCCTAGAGGGAGTGAGGGACCTGCCGCCCCCGAATTGCCGCAGGTGCCGCCCCTCTCCCTTGGCCGCCCCAAGCACCTGCTTGTTAAGCTGGTGCCTGGAGCCGGCCCTGGGGTCACAGGAGGGGTCACACAGCTGTCACTTAGGGTTCACGGGCTCAAACTCTTTCCCCATGTGCTGGGTGTCTAAGGGAAGTGGCTCTGGTTTGGCTGCTCTTGTTGCAGGGAAGGGGAGGGCTGGGGAGAGGGAGGGGCCCCAGCTACCATACTCACCACACTTAATGGGACCCTCCTCCGCTTGTCTGCGGCTTCCTTCCCCGCAACTCCCCCACTGCTGGCTTCTGTCTGCTCGGGGCTCAGGGCATCGGTCTCTCCCATCGGCAAACTGCTCACCAGGGCCAGCAATGGTGACGTCTCGTTCCTGGGAGATGGGGAGCACACACAGGACAATGGGAGGGGAGGGGAGTGAGAGGCAAGAGGAGAGCGAATGGGGAAGAGAGCCCTAAGCTGTTCTGGCCCCGTGAGTCCTCTGGGATTGACTCAGGAGCAGAGTCTGGCTCACTGCAGCCATAGCTGATGTGGGTTCTGCCCCAAGGACCCCGCTCCAGCCAGGCGTGGGGACCCTCAATACCGGGGAATCCAGCAGATGATGGAGATGTGGGGCCAGATTTTCAAAAGCACTGTACACCCAGCAGCTCCCAATAGCCTGACCCTACCTGTGTAACGGGAGCTGAGCTCTTTGGAAAGTCCAGCTCTTGTTTCCCAGAGCTGAAACCCCAGCTCCAGCGCCCCACTGCCCAATGGCAGGCAGCTCAGATTTGAACATATCCATAGAATGGGCCAAGCCAACGCCTTTCCCACGCCACCAAGCTTGTGGGGATCAGCCGTGGCCACGGATTCAGATTCTGTGGCTTGGGGAAGAGCAACTTCAGCCACTCAGGAACCAACATGTGTGTAAACCCAAAGCCACCCTGCCTGTTTCTGGCTACGCTCTCCTGTGATTGGCTGAGACACTCAAGCAGCCCACTCTCCAAGTCAATCAAATAATAGCTCAAAGGGCAGAGGTTACTCTGGGGCATCTCATAGGTCACTCTATCTGCCCTCAGGCCTCCTCCCACCTGCACCCCTGTAACGAAGGCGTCTGGAGCATTCTCCCCAGTGTACAGAAGAGCACTGAGGCACACCTCCAGGGCCACACAATGAGTCCAGTGCAGAGCTGGGAATAGAACCCAGGAGTCCTGGCTCCCTCATGCTTTAAGTCACACGCCCTTCTGCTCACCAGGTCTTGAGGCAGGAGTGGGCAACAAGTGACCCCTGTGAACGCACACGCATTGCTAAATTCAGCCCTGGGCTTGCTCTGTGTTTAGGGGGGATGCTGGTGGGTGTGTTGCTATTAGGCTCTGCTGTACCTCAGCACCTGCTGAAGCTGGGCCCAGCTCTCCTTGACGTCTCGGTGTTTGTGCAGGACTCGTGCTGCCAGGCTGGGATGGAGGCTGATGAGCTGGGACACGGTCACATCCAACATCTGGAGGAGCGAGAGGGGCACAAAGTGAGCTAATGGGGCTGGCTGAGGGTGCCCCTCCAGAGAGCAGAGCTGAGCACAGAGGCCACCTTGGGAATGCTGGGTTAGCCCTCCAGGGGCAGGTGAACAGCAGGACACAGGGTCCCAGCTCCCTTCTAACAAGCCCTCCCACTGATCCCTCCGCTCCACACACCAAATCCTGCCCAAGATCCAGGCCCTCTGAGATGCCAGTCTGGCAGCTGAAGGCAGCCCTGGATGCAGCCCCCCCGTTACAGAGGATTCAGGGCATGACGTACGCCGAACCCCTTGATGCTGGCAGTTCGGCCAGGTGAGGGTTTGACTCCAGGCCATTCTGCCCATGCCACACCCTGCTAGGGGCTGTAACGTCCATGTCCAAGCCGGATGATGGGGGGAGACGTCCCGTCAGGGCACGCGCAGTACGCCTTGCCTCTCAGGTGAGCCATTTCGGGTGAGTTTGGGACAGCGCAATGCCAACACTTACCATGACCTGGCTAGCAATATCCCTGACGTCTCGGTCCCGGCCGGACTCGGGGTCCCCCTGCTTCCCCACGCCACAGAGGTTCCTCCACTGCAAGAAGAAGCAGCAATCATTGTACCCCTTAGGGGAAGGTGGGGACAGGGCCCTGCTCTCTGCAGTGCCTCTGAGCCATTTGGATCCCCTCTGAGTGATCCTAGTCCCCACCCCATGTCACACAGGAGTCCCCTCCTCCAATCCTGCTCCCCAATGACAGGGGCCATCACCCCTCGCAGCACCAGCAATGATGTAACTCAGGGGTCTGGCTGAGAGGGGCGGCCACTCCATAGCAGGCAGGGGAGCTGGTGACTCAGCCCTAGAGCAGGGAGTCCCCAGAATGTCACCTTCCCAGAGGTGCTAGGGAATGTCCATCATTTCCTGGGAGTACAGACAGGCCCCAGGGAAGAAGAGGCCGAGTGTGATATTCCCTCATCGGGCCCCGCATGGCCTCCTTCTCACTTTGGGCTCTGCTCACACCCTGGGGCTGGGGAGAGGCCTCGCTTCAGCTCAGTTCCAAGTGTCTGATAGGGATAGGGCACAGGCAGTGGGATAGCTCACACTCTGACTGGCCAGGAGAGCCAAGCTCTTTTCCTCTACGCTGAGTTGGGGGTCCCCCTCTCCATCCTTAACTCCCTTGATACCCTGCCTGCAGCTGCAGAGCTGGTGGCCATGGAGGAGCAGAAACTGCTCATCAAGCCGCTCGGGGGCTGGCTGGGGGTGGCTGTAGAGCAAAACAAGGGGCTTTCTCCCCAGCCTCCTGGTGGGGAGAATACTCCTTCCACAACCTCCCCAGCCCTGTGCTAGCCCAGGTGTCAGGGGCTGAGAGAGGAGTGGGCTTTTCTCCAAACTGCCTGATAGCCTGGCGTGAAAACTTCCCATCCTGGCACCCGGCGCCCCTCAAACCATCGATGGGGCCGGAGCTGATCCTGCTCTGAGCCCTCAGCGGTACCTTGGCGTGGATGGCTCTGAGGAGCGTGTCCGCTTGCTGGAGGAAGGCAGCTACCTCCAGGGCCAGCTGCAGGGTCTCATGATGTTCCTTCAGGGTCCCCTGAAGCCGCAGCCACCTGGGTGGAGAAAGCAGGAGGAGGTTATTGCAGATCGTGCTGCCCGGTGCAGGCTCCCACGGCCTCCCCAGCCATTCCCACAGTCACGTGACTCACAGGCCAAGTCCTCCCTGTGCCCAGCCTGCCTGGCTCTGCAGCCCCCAGGCGGCTGTGACTCCTCCCCACTCACATTTTATTGAGGTGCTTGCGCCGGGCGGAGATGCTCCTGCTCTCACTCTTGCCGTGCTTCTCCAGTTTCTGGGCCAGGCTGTTCATCTCCTCATGCAGGCCCTGGAACTGCTGCTCCTCCTGGGCTCAGACAGAGAAAGAGAGAAATCCCACCAACTCCCCTGGCCCAGCACAACGAGCCAGTCTCCATGGGAGAGATCAGCTCCTGGCTCCAGCTCCAGTTAAGAGCCAATGTGGACACAAGAACAAATGGATATAAATGGGCCATCAACAAGCTTAGGCTTGAAATTAGGTGAAGGTTTCTACTCATCAGAGGAGTGAAGTTCTGGAACCGCCTTCCGAGGGGAGCAGTGGGGAGAAAAAAACCTAACTAGTTTCAAGGCTGAGCTTGATAAGTTTATGGAGGGGATAGTATGATGGGACTGGCATGTAGCTGATCTGCGACTGCTAGCAGCAAATATCTCCAATCGTTGGTGATGGGACACTAGCTGGTAAGGGCTCGGAGTTACTACAGAGAATTATTTCCCAGGTGTCTGGCGGGGGGTCTTACCCACATGCTCAGGGTCTAACTGATCACCATTTTGGGGTCGGGAAGGAATTTTCCTCCGGTCAGATTGGCAGAGACCCCGGGGGTTATTTTGCCTTCCTCTGCAGCATGGGGCACAGGTCACTTGCAGGTTTAAACTAGTCTAAATGGTGGGTTCTCTGTAACTTGAAGTATTTAAACCATGATTTGCGGGCTTCAGTAACTCAGCCAGAGATTATGAGTCTGTTATAGGAGTGGGTGGGAGAGTTCTGTGGCCTGCAGGGTGCAGAAGTCAGGCTAAATGATAATGATGGTCCCTTCAAGCCTTAAAGTCTATGTGCTTCATTCCAGATGCCCCAGCACTGGCTGCTGAGACTTGGGCAGGAGCCACTGCCCAGCTGGGTCTGGGTTCCCCAGCACAATGGACTCTGTGGCTGATGGGCATGGCTTCAAAGAACGTTCTGACGCTTGTGGCACCAGGGGGCGCTAGGCTCAACAGTGTGAACATGCAGAGGCCTCCCCAACGGATAGCTGGGTGTTATCGAGATGTTCTGGCTCACCCCGGGTCAATCAGTCATTGCTCTGGTTATAACATCAAGCCAGCAAGGAGCTGAGATGGAGCCCTGGCTAGGAAGTCCGAGGTGTCCCCTGGGGGCCGAGCAACAGCTGAGAAACGCAAGACATCCCCTGGGAGAGGGGTGACAGGGACCAAGCCCGAGCCAGGCAAGGGGAGGGACTCTCACCTGTTTTAAGTCAAGGATGCAGCGGGTGAGCTGGATCTTGTCCATGCTCTCTTGCAGAAGGGCAGTCAGCGCGGGCTTCTCTTCCTGGGACAGATGGGGGTTAGAACACAGAGAGGGCAGAGGAAGCCAAGAGATCTACAGAGAAACGGCCCCAGACTGAACCTGAAGCAGGAGGTCTAGGGTGAGGGCAGGGCAACTGGGAGTCAGCACTCCTGGGTCCCACTCCCAGCTCAATGTGTGAATTTGGGCAAGTCCCTTCCCCTCCCGGCCTCAGTTTTGCCTTCTGTAATGGGGATAAATGCCCTGGAGCACCACCACCCTGTCCAGGAGTGATCTCAGCCACCCTCTACGTTACGCAGGCAGCTAGCTCCTGGTTGCCATGGCAAATGCAATTTGCCTACAGGCTGAGAGTATGACGATACCATTTTTAATCAAGTGGCATTTTCCCTGTTAGTGCCCTGGCCCCACCTCCCCCCGCCCTACAGTCCCATCCTGGGCCCCAGGCTGCTGCCCTGCCCTTTCCAAGCGGCAGGTCTCTGCTCAAGAGTCAGTGGCAAGGCTCAGAGACCCCACTGCAGGGGCAGGGCCCCCTGGACATTGCAGGGGGTGGGGCACATTCCTAATGCATCACCAGGCAGTTGGGAGACAGCTGATGAGGTCCCATCCAGCCTGCTCTCCCACTCCCCATACCTTCTGCCTGATCCAAGCCTCCAGCCGCTCCGCTCTCCTGTTGAACTCCTGCAGGTTCCGCAGCCCGCCCAGCGCTTTGTTCTGATTCCCGGCTGTCTGCTTCAGCAGCTGCCACTGCTCCTTCAGGGCCAGCAGCTGCTTCCTGACAGTTTCCACACTGGGGCTGGGCCGGCCCATGAGCTGCTCACCCATCTGGGGAGAGGAAGGGAAGGGAAGCAGCTCAGAGAACCTAAGCCTTGAATCCACTGGCCTGTTGGGGTACTGACTGGGCATGGAGGAGCACAAAGACACGGGGCTAGCCAGGCACTGCCTGGGTGCAGGAGAGGACAGCACGGACCCAATCGGGTCAATTCAAGCAGGATTCAGGCTGGACGCCAGGGGGTTGCTGCGAAGGAGGCTGGAATGGGAGTGGGTCTGTCCCGGAGCCCCCACCATACCTGGTTCAGTTTGATCAGCGTGTTCTCAAAATCCTTCATGTCTCTTTGCAGGGCCTGTGCCACCCGTTCCCAGTCCTGGATATTGCAGCCATCCTTCAGATCCCGCAGCTTCCCTCGCACCCAGCTCTCGGCCTGGAACACAGGGAGGAGCTCTGATCTGGGAATGCCACTGAAACAGGCCTGGGGACGGCACTGAGCCACTTCTTCCAGGAGTTGGCGTGACAGCTGGGTAAATGGGCCCATCCCAGACAGGGATACATGGGGCCATTGGTCTGACAACCTGGTATGACAGGGAGATGGCCCATTGGTCTGAGCTGGCGTAGCAGGCAGCAGGGGATACTGGGCTAGATGTCCCGTCGGTCTCAGGTGGTGCAGGTGGGGATACTGGGGAGATGGGTCCATTGGGCTGACCTGGCGCAGGAGCTCCTGATTTGTCAGAACAAGAACAGTCTGCACTCGTGAGTCCCCTGGAATGGGGCTCTGAGCACAGCCCCTGGGAGAAGGAGACTGAAATGCTAAAGCCCAGAATTTCTGGCTGCCTCTGGAGAGCCTTGCAGTCTGGCTGGGCCACGTCCCCCTCGCCTGGCAGCCAAGGTCCTTTGCAGGCTGAGTGGAGAGGACATAGCCAGGCGGGCAGGCCTCACAGGCAATCTCTCTACCCGCCGTGTGAGGAGTCTGTTCTCCTTTCATTCTCTCTCCCCCCGCTGCCAGCCCATCCCCCTGCAGAGCAGACAGAGACACCCCTTTTTCGTGACCCCTTTTCCTGTGCTGCCTCTGCTGCTGGGGGTGGGGGGAGGAGGAAACTGGGCCCCTATGCGGGCTGACCCACGCTCCCTGGGGCAGACGGCCTGGAGAAAGGCAGCCAAATATGACGTTATGCCACAACAATGGCTTCGCTCGGGCTGAGCGTTCACTCCCCCTCACACTCCTGCTGCTCAGATGAAAGGCTTCCGGCCATGGACACATCCCCGCTTCATTCCTCCACTGGAGCTGGAAGGAAGGAGCTCTCTCCTACCATCACTGCTCCCCCCAGGGGCCAAACCCACCACCCTCAATGTAGAGGCACAGCATGGTGGGGCAGCATCGTGGGCAATTGCTCCATTAACCAGACATTCACTGAGCTCCCTGCTCCCAAACCTTCCTCCAGGGATCCCCGGACTCTACCTGCATTATCTCTCGGTTGAACTGGACTATGAGAGGGCTCTGGTTAGGGACATTTGCCTGCCCTGCACTGCTTCGGATGCCAGTTTTCAGCCCAGCCACTCCACTTGGCTCCTTGTTCTTGACACTTTCCTTCCAGGGGGCTGCTGCATGGCATCCTGAAATCTAAGGGAGTCAAAGAATGGAAAGACTTAGTGCACTTACCTGGGGGTGGAAACCTGAGCCAACCCAAACACACACATGAAAGGGGATGGCAGCCTGGTTTGTTCCCACAAACATTAAATACTATCCATTGGCTTCAATAGCTCTGTGCCAAGACACTCCAGCTGAGGATCTGGCTCACTGACTTCAATGATTTACACCAGCTGAGTTTCTAGTCCTGTGTTTTTCTGAGACGGAAGTCACGTGTCGTTCACAGAATTTGTCGTGGCATCACAAACACACATGGGTCTTTGCACTCGGCTAGTCCTAGGCACAATCCTTGCTGCAAAAAGTTTGCAATCTAAATAGACAGACAATGTAAAATGCAACCATCTCCATTTGCTTCCTCTTGGTTCAGTACATTTCCTCTCCCTTACGTTACACAGGAATTGCTTTACTGGATCAGCCCTGAGCTATATCCAGATAGGGTCTCTGACAGTTGCCAGTAGCCCATGCTTCAGAGGAAAGTGAAAGAAACCCTACAGTAGGGAGTTGTAAGAGAACCTGCTCCTGTGAAAAGTTTCCCCCTAACACCCATCAGTTAGAGGTTGGCTTACGTCTAGAAGCAGAAGAGTTCACAACCCTTCCAAAACTTTCTCTCTCTTAAAAATCCTTATTATTGTATCTCTGGACATTCTCATTCTCCAGACAAATCTCCAGTCTTTGTTGAATCCTGCTAAGTTCTTGGCTTTTGACTTCAATGGTATCTAGTGGCAATGAGTTCCACAGCCCAATTGTGCACTGCATGAAGAGGGGTTTACTTTGGTTAGTTTCAAACATACCACCTTTCAAATTCCCTGGATGTGCCTTATTCTAGTGTTATGAACAGAATGGCCTGATCTACTTTCTCTACACTTCATTAGCATGTATCCTTTGATACATCTATTTATCTCCTCTCTAAAATAAACAATGCCAATTTTTTCAATCTCTCTTCACTCTGAAGTGTTTCCAGGTCTCTAATCAATCTTATGGCCCATCTCTATTTCGTCTAGTTTCTTTGTGAGATGGATGAGCAGAACGGGCATAATACAGACTTGTACAATGACATTTTTATATGTTCTGTATCATTCTCCATCCCATTCCTCACGCATCTGAACATTGGTTCCCTTTTTGGACAGCAGCTCCCTACTGAGCAGTCTTTATTGAGCTGTCCTCAATGATGCTCAGGTCTTTTTCCTGAGCTCACCCAGTTAATTTAGAACCCCGTAACAGGGGTTCTAGAACAATTTGTATAGTGGGGATGCTGACAGCCATCAAACCAAACTGTAAGCCCTGTATATGATGGAAATCGTTTCAAGCCGGGGGTGCAGCAGCACCCCCCACACTCCTACTTCCAGCACCTATGCCCTGTAAGGTGTATGAGTAGTTCAAACTATTCCCTCCAATGTGCATTACTTTGTATTTGTCACCACTCACTCTCACCCACCATCGTGGTGCCTATTTACCTAGCTTGGTTAGATCCCTCTGAAGTTCCTCACACTCTTCTCTGGAGTTGACTAACTTAAATAATTTTGTGCTAGCTGCAGATGTTCCCACTTCCCGACTCACTCCCTTTTCCAGATGAACACATCTGTCAAACAGCGCTGGTCTCAGTCTGGAGCCTTGGCTCACCTCACTGCTAACCTTCGCCATGTTGAAAATCAACCAGTTATTCTGACTCTCTGTTTTCTGTCTCCGCCAGTCTGCGATCTGTGATGGTATTTTGCCTCTCGCCCCATGGCTACATAGTTTTCTTAATAGCCTCCTGTGCAGGACTTAATCAAAGGCTTTTTGGAAGTCCAAATAACTTATGTCAACCACTTTGCCTTTATCCACTATTTTATTGACATGTTCAAAGAGTTTTGATAGATCGGATTCTCCTCAGCAGAAGCCAAGCTGGTTAGTCCCCATGATTAGATATGTGGTTTATAATTCCTACCTTTAATCATCATATGATGGCAATAAGGTGGGCTGTAATTCCCAGCATCACCCTTCTTCCTATTTAGAGGCAGGGACAACATGTGCTGCTCTTCTGTCCTCTGGTAAGTAGCTGATTTTAGTGAAACTGAATATTTTTGTGAGGCGCTCAGACATTTGTTGCACTCTCTCGGCAACCCCATTCTCCCCCCCCACACACCCTGCCCCAGCTGCCTCCTCCTCCTTCTCAAGCCTGGCCCCAATCCCTAGCCCTCAAGCACAACATCAAAGCACAGTTATCTTGGAAGTTTCCCTCTACTCCTCCCACACAGCACAGGGAGCCATCAGCATTGTGTCAATTGCACTCAGCCAGAAAATGGAGTGGAGCAGCCTGGGAGCCCAGTGCCCTCTAGCATGGCCATGGCAGGAATGGGGATCACCCCTGCCCCAAAGGATCTCTCTCCACATATTTAAGCTACTTTGCAATGTGACAAATGTTGTGCTTTCTGCTCAAGGAGTGGAAATAGCAGGGGGGCTGCAGGTCAGGAGTGAGGGGCGCTGGCAGAGCTGTGTGAGCCCAGGACAGGAATAGTGGGGGGTGGAGGGGAGGACCAGAAATGAAAGGCATTAGCAGACCTGCATCAGGAGGAAGTTTGCTTAGTACCATCTCTCTGAGTATTGCCTGGTTCTCTTACTTTCAGCTGCCTCCTGCTAAAAGGAATAAAATTCACCCAATAGAGAAATGGTTCTGGAGCTCTGTCCTCCTGGGGAAGGGGCTGCAGTGCCCTGGTCCCACACCCATGCCTGCCCCCACCAGACTCGGAGGGCCCTGGGGACAGGGTTTTCCTCGCCCGAACATCCAGTGCCCTTCAGTGATGAACAGAGCTCCAAAGCAAGACAGCAACTGAAAGAAAAGGGCGATTCGCCCGCCTGTCTCCCTCCCTCCCCACATGGTGCTTCTTCGTTCCCCAGGAGCTCAGCCCACAGCTCCTCTAGGGGCATCTGGAGATTCTTATTTGAAGTAACTCATCAAGGGGGAGAAGCTCTGCATTTCCTCTGGGGTTTCGCTCTCGTGGTCCGCACTGACGGAATGTTCTGTCCGGGATCCAGCTCCAACGGGGGCGACAGCTAAGGTCAGCCAGAGACGGAACTGGCCTTCCTCCAAGCTCAGCCCAAGGTCCAGCTGCACAAACCCCTGCGGAGGGCCGGGGTTGTGAGGATCTCATGTCCTGCTGCATGGAGGGAGCTCAGTGCCAGCCTCTCCTGGGAGACGGAGCAGACCGAGAAACCTGGCATTGTACCAGCTACGGGCATGCCCCACAGATCTTACAGTCCGGGCACAGGAGGCACAAGGACAGGGATCAGGCAGTGGCCAGTCAGTAGAGTGTGATGTGCCATGGTTTTACTAGTGAGGGTTGTGTGCACACCCTGAGGAGGGAACGTAGGGCCTGGTGGATCAGGTTGGGAAGGGGCAGATCAAGGCGCAGCACTTGGCACGGAGTAGGGAGAGGTGGAAAAAGGCTGCACTGTGGGTGGTGAGTTGGGCAGCTTATCAACAGCTGTATTCTTGCAGGACAATTCCCCCCAGCCCCAGCGGGACTGCTTGCTGAGCCAGGCCTCCTGAGCAGCCCTGCTGCAGAAGGCAAGAAAAATCTGGAGATTAGTTCATGTAAAGGACATACACCCCCTGCCAAGGGGTCAAGGCCAAACCAGGACGCAGCCAGGTTACAGCAGCAGCCTCTCCCTAGAACACAGCAGCAGCCATGCAGCCTGTGGCACACACTGGTTGAAGAACTCTGGCCAGACTTCCATGTCCCGGGTCCCTTGGGCCCAGGACCTTATTGCTCTATGGCCAGTGCCAAGGGGCTCTCCTGACCCTCTCTGTGCCTCATTGTGGGGTGCCCCATTCTGCTCCCAGGAAGCCTCCAACAGCCTCTGGGGGCTCAAATTCTGTTTGAATGGGGGACCAGACATCCTGGCCATCACCCCAGCGCTTTGGCGAGAGAAGGCAGGAGTGGTATGACAGCCAGCACTGTCCACAGGAGACTCAAGCTCGGAGCTCCAGCAACAGGACCCAGGGAAAGAATAAAACAGCTGGAAAATGAGGCTTGAGCCACATTGGGTGGACAAACCCCTCCCCCATACAACCCCAAACCAAGCCAGCAGGCACTCTGCTCACTGCCTCCTTCAACAAACCTGCAACCCTCACCTAGCCCTCTTACCAAACCTGCCCTTACATCAGGGCTGGACTAAGGCAATCCAGGGCCCTAGACACGCCCCCTATGGAGGTCACCATGCCATGGGCATGCATGGCTCTGCACCTGGCCCCAACCCCACTTGGGTCACCTGTACCAGAGCCCTAGGCTGGGCTGGTGGGAAGCCCCACCCTCCCTGAATCACTGCTCCCTGTCTTCAGGTGGACTGGGATCCATCCCTGGGAAGGGAAGATTCTGCCCTCAGCCACTGTAGCAGAGGACTTGGGGGAGAGGGAATTTGCAACACCACCCTAGCAATGAGGGTCTCCCCAACACACAGAGTGTTCTGCTGGGATGGTGTCAGACAGTGGGGATGACCTGGAGCAGCGGAGTTACCGGATACAGATGGGGCAGCCGCAGCGTACCCCCCTCAGAGCACTCGTTTCAGGCTCTTGGCAGATCTCACTGCGCTCGTTACACGTGGGCCACGTTTTTCCAGCTTTTCTGCACAACCCCGAGGGCTAGAAAAATAGTTTAAAAAAAACCCTGGAAAGAGATTCTGATGCTGTCATGCGACTCCAGGAGCCGGGGCTCTGGGCACAGCCCATGGTACCTTCATGCAGCCTTGCTTAAATAAGCAGCAGCAACATTTGTGCGCGGGGATGCTCAGCGACAGGGCTACAGCCAGCACAGACTCTGCTAACACTGTTACTGCTTCCCCAGGAGACCAGAAGCAGGACACAGGGAGGCCAATGAGGAATGGAAGCCTGAGGAGGGAGGAGTGGGATGCTGCTTCCTTTCAGGTATCCATCCCTGGACTCTCCAGCCCCCCTCACCTTCCTGTTTAAACGCTCAGCCCGTTCCCTTTGCTGCTGCAGCCCTCCCCACACTAGGCCATTCAAATGGCTGGAAGCCCAGGATGTGTCTGCACCAGTCATGCACTTTTCAGAGCAGGATCTGATGCACCCTCCTGCCCTGCCCTGGACAGAGGCGGCTCACAGCTGAGCCCGCTGGGCCTGCTTTACAGACATGACAAGCTCGCTCAGTTATAGGGATTGGCCTATGTACAAAACTCGGCCTCAAACCCGAGAGCTGGCAAGCATGTTGCCCCATTGGGCCAGGTTTGCCATGAGGCCCCTAAATGAGAGTCTTCGTTAGCCCCTGTTCCACTGGCTTTTCATCACAACCGCAGGCCTGGAAGGAGGGATCTCACTTTTCCCAGCTACCCTTGTGCTCAGGAAATGTCCCCTGTAGACCACATTCACACAGCACCAAACCAACCCAGAATATCCCACCCCAGTACAAGACCCACACAGGCCCTTATAAATCAAGAGAACCAGGGACGTACCATATGGAAGGGAGGACCTTTGTCCACCGGAGAGCAGAAATCACCAGCATGGGGGCTCCTGGCCTCCTGCTTTTCTTCCTCCACATCCACTTCCTTTCTGAGAAAGACCTAGAGGTGGAGAAGCAGCAGTCTGTAAGGGCTGAGTCTCACCCATTCACCAAGAGAGGTCTGGAGACCTCTTCGCCGAGCAGCCAAAGCCTGGGCTCCTTGGATAGGGGCATTCAGGTGTAGACCCCCTGAAGGTCACAGTGACATGCTGCCTGTGTTTGCCTGAACCCCCACCACCCTCCTGTTAGCGGCTGTTGATCCTGCTAGGAAAGGGTTAAGTGGGCTTGGCTGCCTCTCTGAGGCAGGTGGCTCAGCACCCCACCTGTTTGGGGAGAGAAGATCTAGGGTGTGGGCTGAGCTGGCCCATGTTGTTACCTTGTTACTGTTAATAGAGCCAGAAAGAGAGGGGTGTGGGATTGGTTGGACTCTGCAGTGTGTGGACTGTGTTTCAGAGCAGGCTGGGAAGTATACCCAGGACTTCTAGGATACTGGATGCTTGCAATGCTCCCATCTGGCAGAGAGACGGGTCATCTTTAACATCTGGAGTCACTTCTGCTCTTATAGTACAGGGGACAACAGCTGGAAGAGAAGCCAGTAATAGGGGCTCGCTTACTGTGCAGAGAGAGTCCTTGGGGTATGTGCTAGTCACTCCCTATCTTTCATATCGTCCCTTTGGGAATCACAGCACCATAACACCGCCCACGTCCTGAGCTCCTGCCATCCGAGGGGCTCAAAGCACTCTGCAAACATTAGCTCCGCCTCACACAGCCCCCTCGGAGGTGGGTCAATACTGTTAGCCCCATTTTACAAACAGGGAAGAGGAAAGACTTGCCCAAGGATACACAACACATTTGTGGCAGAGCGGGGAATAGAACCCAGGATTCCTGGTCACACCTGCTCTAACCAATAGATAATACTCCTTCCCTGCGAAAGCCATTCTAGGCCAAGTCTTGCTCACCACCTTCCCTCACAGGAATAGGCTTCAATGGGGCTCCTCATGGGAGTGAGGCATGCAGGTCTGGACCCCATGGGTATGTCTATGCTTCAAAACAAACCCCCTGGCAGCGAGTCTCAGAGCCCAGGTCTAGAGACTCAGGCTCACAGAGCTAAAAACAGCTGTGTAGATGTTCCCACTCGGGCTCTGAACCCATTCCCTCCCCAGCCTTTAGTGCCACTGCTGCAGTCATCCTGGCTTGGCCCTGTCGGGATGGCTATATATAGAGCCCTGTGCGGATACAGAATCTGTATCTGCATCCGATCTGCAAACATGGTCCACGGAAATCTGCGTGAGCAGATTCGGATATCTGCAGATATCATGCGGCTATGCGCAGATTTGCAGGGCTCTAGCTATATGCTGTAAGTGTCAGGCAGCAGCAAACGTCCCAGGAATCGCTGTAGCTGACACACCCTGGGAGTCCTCTCGCTACCATTTCCCTGGCACCTACGCTACACGCACACCCTGTACTGCCTCTGGCAGGCTCAAGCAGCCCTGCAGCAGCACTATCTACCTCATCTTCACTGGAGGAGGCAGCCCACCCTGAGCAGGAAAGGGGACATGAGGCGGCAATGGATGATCAGAAACAGCAGAAAAGTCTAACTGAGCTGAACACTCCCAGACAGAACCATCCTGGGAGCTGTGGGATGAGCAGATGTCACAGGGAGCAGGGCCCTCCCTGCCCAGCCAATACCCACAGGTCTGATCCCCCCCAGAGGTGACGGACACATATGTACATTAGCGTCTATCCTGTTTGTGGAACGGCAGGTGGTTAGAGACACTAAGTGGCTGCTGCTGTGCCAGGCACAGTATCCTGGGAACCACTCATGGGCAGTCCTGTCCCCACGCCCATTGTGGCCTGCTCGGCCCTTCCCCACCCAGCGCTCAGCAATGGGAGATAAGCCTGCAGGTGACACAGGCACGTTATACACACTGTGCCTCGCAATCCACCAGCTTCAGGAAAACAGGGCTGTCAGCATGCGATGACCTCATCCTTCCTGCCGAACTGCTGCGCGCTTGCCCAGCCCCAGCCCCTCCAGCAGACAGCTCCGGAGTGCACGTGAAATGAAGAACTAAGTTAGGCCTCGCCTTGCTTTGGGGACTGGAGGCTGCAAATGAGAGGCTGGTGCCCCTGACTGGCTGGGACTTTCACTGCCAGCCACTACCATGTAAACCAGAGCCACCCAGAGGAGGAACCAGCACAGACCCCATAGGGCTCAATGCTAGGGAGACACGCGTGTGCACACGCACACACATGTTCTTGGCTGAGGATTCAGGGTCATCTTAAAGGACTCTTCCTTGGGGTCTAATGAGATAGTGCAGTGAGGTAATGTGTTAGTGGGTCACCACTGAGAACCTGGACATCAATCCTGATTTCACTCAAGTGAAATGAGCTTAGTGGCCTCAGTTTACCCTCCAGAAGATGCTTCTCTGCATCACAAACCACAATGTTAATTTGGCATATCCGTTTGCATGCATGAGGGCTGGAACAGCGGGGAGAGATGGGAGGGGCCAGGGGGCTACAATTCAGGATCAAAGGGCATTGAAAGAGCTGTGTGTCGGAAGTCCAGGATGGGAATAACAGCAGGGCTGCAGGCCAGGAGTGAGGCGCATCAGCAGAACTATGCGTGGGGAGCCAAGGACTGGAATAGTAGGGAGAGGGGACCGCAGGCCAGGAGTAAAGGGCACGGACAGAGCCCAGGGCTGGGATAGCAGTGGGGGCTGCAGGCCAAGAATGAGTGTGTACTAACATGTTGTTCTCTCTCTCTTCCAGCCCCACTCACCCTGTCTGGATATTATAGTTCCTTCTCTTCTAACCCAGCTTCCACTCCAGCGCACTGTACTCCTTCTAACATGTCCTGACGCCCTGTCAGCCCTCTGTCCTTCCCTCTCTCACAAAGCCCTATTTCGCAGGCCTCCCCTCCCATCCCGCCCCCTTCTGTGGGGGCTGACCCACTCACTCAATCTCCCGAGTCCCAAATAACAGGGGGGAAAAAAGCAATTATTGCACGTCCCCTCCCCACCCAAAAAAGAGGAGGCAAAGGATCTATGAGAATCCCCCTTTCATTGCCCGAGCTGGGGACTGCTCAGTCAAGCTGCCTAGCGAGAGGTGGGAACAGGCTGAGTGGCTGCTGGGTTTCCAGAACCGCCGGGGGGCCGCATCCTCCTGCAGGCCATCCAGAAACCGGAGCAGGACGAGCGGGGGGATGGGGAGGCCACCATGGACTTCGCCCTGAAGCTGGAGAAAACCGTCAACCAGGCACTGCTGGACCTGCACAAGGTGGCCACGAGCCACGCAGACCCACACATGTGCGATTTCCTGGAGACCCACTACCTGGACGAGGAGGTGAAGCTCCTCAAGAAGCTGGGCAACCACGTGACCAACCTGCGGCGTGTGGGGGCGCCCAAGGCGGGGCTGGGCGAGTATCTCTTCGACCGGCTCACCCTGGGCGACAGCAGCTGAGCCCCGAGCTGCCCGCGGTGCCGGCCCTTTAAATCCTGCTGCCCAGCCGGAGCCCCCTCCCCCCCGCCTGCCGATCACGGGGTGACCTGCCCCCTCCAAAGTCTGTAACTGGCATTGAATAAAAGCTTGGCATTAGCCAAAAAAAAAGATCTGCCTGTGTGCTGAGCACACCAGAGGCTTGTGTGAGGCTGTCTGGCCTTTACTGGCACTGAAGCTCAGAGGTTTGGCGATCACGTATTCTGCTCTCTTCCCAGTCTTGCCCCACTATGAAAGCAGCTGTTTTGGGGTAAATCATGGGGAGTTTCTACTTGAGATCTCAGCTGCTTTCTCCCAACACCAGCCTTAGGCCACCAAGGGGGTCTTCTGAGCTCAAGCAGCAAGCAATTAGAAGAGACATGTGTTCGAGTTGTTAGAGCACAGGTGACTGGCTGTCAGGACTCCTGGGTTCTGTTCCTGACTCTGACATAATGTGTGATCCCTGGAAGAGACCTTCCCCTCTGAGCCTCAGCTTCTCCAACTGTAAAAGGGGGATAATGATACTGCCCCCCCCAAAATTGCTGTGAGGGCCCCAAAGGAGAGGTGTGGGGATTACCACAGTGATTCAGAGAGAGGAGCCCTCAGGAGGACTTGAATGCAGATGTATCCCCAAAGGCATGCTCATCTTCTTGTCTCCAAACTCCCCCTCGCCCTCACTGTGGGTTTCTTCTCCCTGGGGGTGGGGGTAATGTTGCCTCTACAGGCTCATGTGGTTGGTGCTCCTACTGGTCTTCAATAACAGGACAAACAGAGAAGCAACCAAGCTCCAGAGGCCCTTTACAAGAAGGGACGTCCTTCCCCGAGAGAGACCCATGTTTGTCTCCCTCCACACATTGCCTGTGCTATCTCCTCTCACTGGGAAGGAAAGAGAGCAGCAGACATGGAGACTCCCATAGCTGAGGATTGGGGGGGGGCAGGGGACAGATCTAGCCCTGATGTAACAGAGAGGCAGAATGCAGAGCAACAGAGCACAGCAAAGGACCGTGTCTATGCAGGGTCCTGGGGCCAGGGTACAAGGAGTCCTTACCTTGAACTGAGCCTTCCCTGGTCTGCTGTTGTTGTTGTTGTGGTTCCTCTCACAGCTGGTCCGGACTGGGCCCTTAGACACCCCTTCCTTGCCAGGGCCAGGCTCCCCATGCCAGTTAGATAGCGTGATCTTCTTAATGGAGCGGGCTAGTGAGTTGCGGTTGAGCTGGTCCTCGTCGGTGATGCCCTCCTCAGTTGGGCTGGTGCTCCGGAACCCACCTCCAGTGGGCACAGGGCTGGACTGGGCCCGAGCCAAGTACAGGGGGACACACTCATTGAGGTTCTGGCGCAGGGCACGGTTATCCAGGCCAGCCATGGTGTCATCAGGGCAGGAGTCCCCAGGGAAGTCCACCGTGCACTTGGGCAGGGAGAGCTTGGTGCTGATGGTGAAGGGCTGGATTTTCCTCGCCGTGCTGCCGGACATCCTCCCCCAAACATCAGCCTTGTGGAGTCCCCAGGAGATTGTGGGGGATATCACAACCCCAAACTCCCCACCCGCGGCTGCCAAAGGAGAGGTGAGGCAGAGAAGGATCCAGCCAGCAGCCTGCAAACCTCGAGGCAAGGAAACGACACAGGATTTCAGCTGAACTCCGCCTCCAGAAACAGAGATAGAGAAGCCCCAGTTGGTGCCGTCTAGTCCGTCCCCCAGGGCCCAGGGCCAGATCACTCCCCAGGCCTCTGTCCAGCCTCCTTTGAAATGGCCCAAAACGTAGGGCTTCCAACCGCTCCGAAAGGCGAAAGTCACAAAATAACCATCCCAGGCCCCTGGGGGGGGGCAAAGGGGAGGGATCCCCTTCCAGAGGGGCTGTCAGAAAACCGGAGCTGAAGAGCAGGAGAGAAGAAGGGAGGTGAGGGGGCGGATGGATCCCATCTTCAGATCAAGATGATGAAAATGATCCTCCCAGGAAAAGGCTGGAAAGGGGCAGCTCTGCAGAGCTGAGATGGGGAGTGATGAGTCTGCTCCCAGGGGGCAGGCCTGTCTCCCGCAGGGTGTTGAGAGACCTTCCCCCACTCCCAGGCTGGCTGCTGGGGTCTCTCCTCCCCCCTCGGTGGGCTCCGTGTTCTCCCCTGGGCTGGCCAGAGCAGGCGCAGGGTGCTCTCTCTCCTCTGCTGGCAGACTGCGCTCCCCCTCCCTGGCTGGGTGCACGGCGCTGTCCCCCCAGCGCCGGGGGAGGCTCCAGGTCTCAGTCGTCTGCCTTCTTGCGCAGGTTGAGGATGCAGAGCAGGCAGGTGAGCACCGCCTCGCGGGACTCCCGAGAGCCCAAACGGGCCCCCAGGCGCCGGAGCAGCGGCAGGAGGCGCTTGCGAGCCAGGAGCAGCAGGCGGGCGAGGAGGGTGCGCAGCAGCGGCAGCAGGAGCAGCGGGGCGGGCATGCTGCGCTCAGGGCGCCGGGCCGGGCTCTGCGGGGCAGACGCACAGTGGGGTCAGCAGCCCGGGCGGGCGGTGCATCCTGCCCGCCCGCAGCGGGGATCCAGCCCCGCGGGGCTCACGCCTCTCCAGCCCTGCCCGCCCCGCGGCGTCCGTCCCCCTCCCTCGGCCCGGCTCCCTCTCCCCCGCGCGAGCCCAGCCCGTCCGGCAGGCAATTCCTGAGCATGAGGTCATGCGGCTCCCGAGCTCACTTCCAGCCCCGTTCCCCGGGGCTGTAGCGGGGGCCCGGGGCGCTGCCCGGCACTGCAGCCCGCCGCGCGGCAGGGGCCGGGATCCCAACTGCGGCCCGCGCGCCGCCCTGCCCCGCGGCTCTCTGCTGCCCCCTGGCGCAGCGCGCGGACTGGGGCCGGCGAGGGAACATCATCTCCGAATGTGCCCGGCGTTGTCCAGGCAACCGACCGCCGGAGGCGATGATGCAATTGAATTCCACCGGGATGGGCGGCGGAGCGGCCCTCGGCAAGGAAACTTCTCTTAGCGCCATGGCAACGGGGGAGGGGGCGCTGCTGGGCCAGCCCTCCGGCTCCCGTCCGCTCTGCAGGGCCAGGACCACCACCTCTGCTGGCCCCTTGCCCCAGCCAGGCGCCTTCCCCCCGGGAACTGCCCGCCGCCTGGCCCTGGCTCCTTGGCAGCAGCAGCACCCTAGCGGGGCTCAGCCTCACCTCTGCAGGGGCTGAGGTCTCAGCAAGGGGATACTCTGGTCAGGTGCCTGTGTTATATAATAGGGTAGCAAACTCCTGAGTGCCAGTGTGAGCCAGATCTAGGGGGTGGACTCAGAACTGTTCTGCTGTGAGTCATAGGCCCCATACTGCCAGCAGCTCATGGGAAATCGTTAGGTCTAGTAGTAGGTGCCTGGGCTCTTACAGCAAGAGTTCTATTCTTGCTGCCCCAGTGAAATTTCCCATGGCCACAGCATGCAGCATAGTGGCAGAGGTGACAATAGATTTTCTAATGCAATGCATGGGGAAATCTGTCCATGGGGAACTAGGAAAAGCTACCTAGTAGGACTGGCTCTTTGTCCAGCCGTCTGATATATTTCTGTGGCCTCCATCACCATAGGTTTTGAGCACATCACAATCTTTAGTGTATTGATCCTCACAACACCCTGTGGGGCAGAGCTATCATCCCCACATTATAAATGGGGAACAGAGAGACTAAAGTTGAAGAACACACAGGAAGTCTGTGGGAACTGCACCTATGTCTCCTTAGTCCTTGGCCAGTATCCCAGCCCCTGGACCATCCTTCCTGAGGCTGCCTTTAAAAGTGGTCACCTGTGACTGAAAGCTGCATATTGGAGGTGCGCAGCCTCAGGCAAGTCTCACTATCTGTTATGAATAGCAGGGAACATGCCAGCTTAGTAAAGCACCCTCTATATTTATGAATTGGGATACATGCTAGTGCCTGCCCAAGAGAAGCTGGAGGATCCGACCCTACACCACCAGCAAGAGGAGCTCAGCTAACAGTAGCTCTGCCTTGGACTGTGTATATTACACTCAGCCTTCTTACCACAAGCTCAGCAACAGTTTTCCCCTTGGGCAGCTCTCACGCTCAAGATGGCCTGTACCTGGGAAAAATCTAGGAAGACAAGAAAAATACTCATGGTAAAATAGTCCCCCTTTCATGCAGCCAAGGAGGCATGGGTAGATTTGTGGGCCTGCTCCAGCAAACACTTTGCTATCTTGAGTAGCCCTATCGCAGCCAGTGGAGTAACCCAAGGAAGGATTCAGTCCAAGGGTTGAATTTTATACAGAGCAATGGCTTCTTTAATAGCTCACTGCCAGCAGTCTTGATCTTAACTGTCTCCTGTCCCCATCTTTGTCCTCCCCCGCTCTGGCGCGCACTGTCTGCTTGCATCCCCGTTCTCAGAGCAATGAAAATGCCCAGCTCCAAACAGCACCTCTTCATGATTAGACCAGGGCGAGGTTATTGTAGCAGAGAAATGTGACCCTGCCCCCCAAACAAACAGCCCTAGCCCGCAGCTTCTGAGTGTCCCATGGAACAAGGGTGCCAAATGCTGCTGAGGGAGAAAGGTGCCCCCATGGATCAACCCTGTCTTGGGATGCACCCTTGAGCTCTGGGGCCCCAGCACAGATTCCAAATGGAAATCAGCCCTAAGAGAGGACCCATATAACCCAAATGGCTCTTACAGTTGTTGGGATCCTTCCTTCTCCGGGATTCTCAGGGAACGTCCCTGGATCTTTCCCCAAAGAGGAGCCTTCACTGCCCCAGCTCCCCCTGACAACCTGACCTGTCTCCAGCACAAACAGAAATAATGTCCCCAGCAATGAGAAACAACAAAAATTCCCCTCCTCACCAGCTGCCCCTTTAAACTCTCGCTTCGGGGAGGGGGGGAAGGCACATGCTCGGTGTAAGCGATAGTGCTCGACCCCATGACCCCATCTGTCGGGATGGTCGTGCTGGCTCCTGGCACATGCAGGGCGGTTAGCGCTGGGGGCAGAAGGAGGGGATTGCATTAACAACATCTGTCCTGCACAATAACACAGTTTGGCAGCAGCAGCAGTGCAGGGCTCTGTTTCAGTACAAGGCCCTATTGAAACCCCAAACAGGCGGCTGAGTTAAAAATACAGCCAACCCCCCACAGCAACTGCTGCCCTGTCACCCACACCCTGCTCCTCACTGTCTGCTGCTTCCCCTGGGGAGAGTAATATATCCAAATAACACAGGCACTTGTGCTTCAGCCTAGGAGAAAGTGGGCATGGGGAGTGGGGGGACATAGCCACTGGCATTCAGAGCTGGTCCATAGCTCTCAGAAGGAATGGAGGACTCAGCAGCAGAAGTAATCTTTAGGGGTGTTAAGAGCAAGTTGACCACAGCCCATAAGAGGCACTGTAATCTGGTGTCATTGGGGGCTCCAGAGGCTATGAGGCTGGCCCTCCGAGGGTGTAGTAACTATAGTTTCTAAGGCCACCTGGCAGCTGTTCGCGAGCTCTGCTGTAACCTAAGGGTGTCCTGCATGAAAACTCTGGGAACCTTAGCCAGTGCTACCTACTTTATTTTGGTTCCCGCTAGCTGTCCAATAGGGAAGATATTTATACTTTGGTAGAAAAGGGGCCTTGCTCGGTGTTCTCCCATTCTCCCTTTGTTATACCCCTACCCCTCAAAAATCCAACCTTTCACTCTGGCCCAAGAGAGCTACAGCCCAACAACCCTGTTCCAAGCACTGGCCAGATTGGGTCCTTTTTAAGCATTTCAAGGTGCTCAGTCTCCATGCGGCCATCAACCAGGGGAGTGAAGGACCAAGCTGAGGATGAGAACCTGTGTTCCAAATTTAGTTCCCCCTGCAGACCTGCCCATTCATGCAAAATGTGCCACAGGATCTGGGGTCCTGAGCAATTTCCATCCACTTGGATGCTAGCGATGGGTATTGGTGCCATGTAGATCGTAGTGGGGAGTGCTACTTTTGGGTATTGATGCCACTTACATTCTAGTGTCAGGTAAGAACACTATTGCACTCATGCAAATTGCTATGTGGAAACATGAGGCTTTTTCTTTCTTGCTGTCTCCAAAACATGAATAATCATTGGGAATCGTTTAAGAACACCTTACTAGATGCCCCAAAAGCCACAATATAATGAATATAAATCAGAAGTTAGAAATTGTATAAAATTGATAAGGGAAGCCAAGGGATACAAGGAGAAATCTATGGCCAGCAGACTTAAGGGCAAAAGAAGTTTTTAAAATATATTAGGAACAAAAAGAATCCTGGCAAAGAATTGGTCCATTGCTAGATGGAAATGGTAAAATTATCAAAAATAATGCAGAAAAGGCACAGGTATTCAATAAATATTTCTGTTCTAATATTGGGGAAAAACAGGTGATGCAGTCTCATCATATGGTGATGATAACACTCTTCCCACTCCACTTGTATCTCTGGAGGATGTTAAAGAGAAGCTATTAAAGTTATACATTTTTAAATCAGCTGGATAACTTGCATCCAAGATTTTCAAAGAACTGACTGAGGAGCTTGCTGGCCTGTTAACGTTGATTTTCAATAAGTCTTGGAGCACTGGGGAAGACTGGAAGAAAGCTAATGTTGTGCCAATTTTTAAAAAGGGTACACAGGATGACCTGAGTAATTATAGACCTGTCAGCCTTACATTGACCCCAAGCAAGATAATGGAGTGGTTGATATGGGACTCTATTAATAACAACCTTAAGGAGGGTAATGTAATTAAAGCAAATCAACATGGGTTTACGGAAAATAGAGCTGGTCAAACTAAGTTGATATCTTTTTTTGCTGAGATTAAAAGTTTGGTTGATAAAAGTAATAGTGCTCACATAATAGACGTAGACTTCTGTAAAGTGTTTGACTTGGTGCCGCATGGCGTGTTGATTAAAAAACTATCATGATATAAAATTAGCATGGCACATATTAAATGGATTAAAAACTGGCGGGTCATCAAATGTAACCGTAAACAGGGAATCGTCATCAAGCAGTCTGTTTCCAGTCGAGTCCTGCAGGGATCAGTTCTTGGCCCTATGCTATTTAACGTCTTTATCGATTACCTGGAAGAAAACATAAAATCATCACTGATAAAGTTTACAGATGACACAAAAATTGGGGCAGAGGATTAGTGCAGAGGACAGGTCACTGATACAGAGTAATCAAGATCACTTGATAAACTGAGCACAAGCAAGCAATATGCATTTTAATATGGTTAAATGTAAATGTATACATCTGGGAACAAAGAATGTAGGACATTCTTACAGGATGGAGGACTCTATGCTCTATCCAGTGACTCTGAAAAAGATTGGAGGATCATGGTGGATAATCAGCTAAACAGGAGCTCCCAATGTGACACTGTGGCCAAAGAGCTAATGCGATCCTGGGATGCAGAAACAGGAATCTTGAATAGGTGTAGAGAGGTTATTTTACCTCTGTATTTGGCACTTGTGCAACTGCTGCTGGAATATTGTGTCCAGTTCTCGTGCCTACAGTTCAAGAAGGATGTTGATAAATTGGAGAGGGTTCAGAGAAGAGTCGTGAGAATGATGAAAGGATTATAAAACATGCCTTATAGTAGGGTTACCATATTTAAACATTAAAAAAAGAGGACACTCCACGGGGCCCTGGTCCCGCCCCTTCCCACCCCAACTCCGCCCCTTCCCCAAAGTCCCCGCCCCAACTCTGCCCCCTCCCCTGAGCGCCCCGCATTCCCCCTCCTCCCTCCCAGCCACGTGAATCAGCTGCCCAAGCACTACCGGCTCAACGGTTTGCCGGGCAGCCCCCAGACCTCCAGACCCTGCGCCCCCGGCCGGGCGCTTCCCCAGCGCAGCTGGAGCCTGGGAGGGGAAGTGCCCAGCCGGGGGCTCAGGGTCTGGAGGTCTGGGGGCTGCCCGGCAAACCGTGAAGCCGGTAGCGCTGGGGCAGCTTGGCTCTTCAGCTGCACAGAGCTGAGATGTCTGGGGGGAGCAGCAGCCGCGGCGGTGGGGGAATCCACCTGCAGCTCGCAGCCTGGCGGAGCCGCTCTAAGGTAAGCAGGGGACTGGGGCAGGGATCCCGGACGGGGATTTGAGGACCAAAAAGCCGGACGTGTCCGGGAAAATCCGGACGTATGGTAACCCTACCTTATAGAGATAGACTTCACAAGCTTAATCTATTTAGCTTAGCAAAGAGAAGGTTAAGGAGTGACTCAATCACAATCTATAAGCATCTACATCTACATCTACCTCTACATGTGGAACAAATAGTTAATAATGGGCTCTTCAATCTAGCAGAGAAAGGTACAACACAATCCAACGGCTGGATGCTGAAGCTAGACAAATTCAGATGTAAAATTTTGACACAGAGTAATTAGCCGCTGGAACAATGTACCAAAGGTCATGGTGGATTCTCCATCACTGGCAATTTTTAAATCAAGATTGGATGTTTCTCTTAAAGATCAGCTCTGGGAATTATTTTGGGGGTAGTTCTATGTGTTATACAGGAGGTCAGGCCAGATGATCACAATGGTCTCTTCTGGCCTTGGAATCATAGGTGCTGGAACTAGGTGTGCTGCTGCACCCCCTGCCTTCCAGCGTATACAGGGTTTACAGTTTGGTTCAATGGCTCTCAGCACTCCCACTATAAGAATTGCTCCAGCACCCCTGCTTGGAATCTATGAATCTAAAGGTCAGATTCTAGCTAAACACCCATATAGGGACTGAGGGAGAAGCTCTGAGAAGTCCTAGCCCCACAGCACTGAGCTTTCATACCGACACATACATACAGATTTACACATGGGCTGATGAGAACAATAAAGCAGGGGCCATAGAGCCTGGCGAAAAGAGCCCTGTGTCTCAGTGGCATTCTCTCTGGCACTGAGATCCCCCAGTTCTAGCCCCTAACTAGCACCTGTTCAATCCCACTCTTCACATTTACCAGAATCCCACCTTCCATTGCCCCACTCGGTCCTTCCTGTCCAAGATGCAGATTAAGCTGCCTCATACTCTTTCATACACCCCGTTCCAACTGCCTACCCTGTTAACTGGCCCAGTCTGCTCATTCCCCTCTGAGGAGGTGACTGCTGAGGTTCAGGTCACATTCCCTCCCCTGGGGGATGGTTTCTCTCAATTGACTCACTCGATCCCTTTGAGAACTGTGCAAACCTCAAATCTCCCTGCAGAATCGTCTCCTCTCCAGGCAGAATCCCAAACCGCTGCCCCCCAACCTTTCCTCCAAACCCTTCAGGGCCAGCATCAGCTTTGGTGCCCTCCTCTGCCCCTTCTCCAGAGTAATCCTCCCTGGTGAGGTAGGCCCAGCCCTCCCACAGCATTCCAGGTGGAGTCTCACTAGGGCCTTATTTACTCCCAGCACTCATTTCTCTGTCCCTCTGTCCATTGTGCCTAGGATCTCGTTTGCCTTCATCCCTGCAGCTGAGCCCTGCCATCTCCCCAACTCCTCCTCCTCCTCCTCCCAGACAAGCCCACCCCCACTTGCCTCCACTGAAAGAATGCCCTGGCTCCAGCTGCCTCTCTGTCCTGAGCCACACAGTGCCTGCCCAGGTGCCCAGGGTGGGGCTAACATACTCAGAGCCTGGGAACGCACTGGACTAGGCATTGGACTGGGGAGTCACGAAGCGGGTGGGAATGGGCAGTGTAAAGATTGGAGCTTGTCACCTCATTTCAAAATGCTGCAGGGGGCCAGGGGCGCTGAGACCGAAAGCACGCCTCGCCTTTCTTTGCAGCCCGTCCTGAGGCGGCCCATCCATTGCCCAGACGGTCCCAGAGGAAAGCCACTGCAGTGAGCTCAGCTGCCATGACCTTTCCCAGCCCTGCAGCTTTCTCACGGGGAG